GATGTATCAATCTGATCCACTTGATGGTGCGGAATCCCAATCAAGTGGACGATGCAAGATAGAATAGAGAAGAAGAAGAAGAAGAAGAACAAGTTGAATCCGCAATGCACACAATGAATTGATTGATAATTCTGTACACAAGATTCACACACACACACACACACATTCTCTCTACTTTCTCTCTGTAGAACACCCTCTCAACAATGGTAGCCCCTTCCTTGAACCACCCCACCTCTATTGTAATTACCTATATATATATATATATATATATATATATATATATATATATATATATATATATATATATGGACCGAAAACCCAAGCCCAAAACCCAATAACTAGACCGAAATCACATGTGATTTTGGTCCAACCAACCTAAAACCCAAGACTATTTTTGGCCCTAAACCGAAAACTATAAATGCCTAGAAAAACAAAGTATAAACCATAAATTTAGACCCAACAACATGCATCTTTCTGAGGATCCTGAGATGATCTGTTTAGGGCTGCAACTCTTCCTGTTAGTTTTTGAATATCTTTTGTCGAGGATGGTGATCTAAGATCGAGGATGGCCATGATTTGCTCCGGGCTTGCTTCAATTCCTCTTTTGGTCGCCATGTATCCAAGGAACTTGCCTGAAAGTGACACTTGGAGGGATTCAGCTTCATGTTATATTCGTCTAGTATGTTGAAGGCTTTTTCAAGATCCTTAAGATGATCTTCAGCTTTCTTAGATTTGACCACCATGTCATCGATGTAGACTTCCATGGTGTCCCCCAGTTTCTCTTTGGACATCTTGTTGACTAGCCTTTGGTATGTTGCACCTGCATTTTTAAGACCAATTCGCATGGCAATATAACAATAGATACCTGTTGGAGTTATGAATGTCGTATCTTCTTGGTCAGATGGTTCCATCTGGATTTGTTGGAATCCTGCTGAAGTATCCATAAATCTTAACAACTCGTGGCCAGCTGTAGCATCTATCATGGAGTCAATATGTGGTAGAGGGGAAGGATTCTTAGGACAAACCTTATTGAGATCTATGTAATCTACACAGACACATGTCATTTACAATTATTCTTTTGTACCACGACCACATTAGCTAGCCACCTTGTGAATTTCACCTCCTTGATCATTCCTGTTTTAAGAAGTTTTTCTACTTCTTCTTGTATAATTTGGTTTCTCTCCGGTGCTAACTTCCTTCTCTTTTGATGTATTGGTCTGAAAGATGGATCAATGTTAAGTTTATGTGTTATTATATTTTTTTTCTATACCTGTCATGTCCTCATGCTTCCATGAAAATGTCTTGCTTCTAGCTTTAGGGAATGTTATTAGATCTTGTTCGATTTGTTCAGGCATTGAGGATCCTATGAGAAATTTGGCTTCAGAATCCTCAAGGTTCAGGGGCACTTCCTTTACATCTTTCTCTCTTGTTTCTAGCACATCTCGTGCCCCTTCTTTAATTTCTATGTTTGTCGTGGTATTGTTGAAGATTTCATCGAAGTCTTGTAGCATTCTTTGGATTCTTGTTGATCTCCTGTGATCTTCACTGTTCCCCATGGGGTAGGCATCTTCACACATTGATGATATGTCAATGGGACAACCTTCATTTCGTGGATCCATGGTGTACCCAACATAAAATTATAAGAGGATAACATATCAATTACACAAAAACGTTGTATAGAGTTTATCTCCTCTATGTAGATAGGTAGCTTTATCTCGCCGACTGTGTGTTTGGTTTCACCGCTGAATCCAATCAGCACTGAGGATGTTCTAACTATTTCGGACTCCGGCATGTTCATTCTTTTTAATGCGTCCAAGAGTATAATGTTGACTGAGGATCCTCCATCGACAAGGATCCTTCTGACGAAATGGTTGGTGTTGTAAAGAGTGATCACCAATCTGTCATGGTGAGGATCCTGGATGTCTTGCCTATCTTCTTCGTCGAAGGTGATCTCTTTTTCGTTTGTGATTCATGTATTATTTCGTGGACCTTCTTCTTTTTCTATTTTTAACACCTTGGCGTGCCTTTTTGCTGTAGAATAAGAGGTACCACAAATGTCAGATCCTCCAGAGATCACATTAATTACCTTGGCATCAGTAGGAGGGGATCCTGGTTTGTTGAGGATCTTCTGAGGATTCTGATCTTTCTCTTTGGATCTTTCCTTTCTTCTTCCAAGGATTTCTTTAAGGTATCCATTTCCTAATAGGTAGTTGATCATCTTCTTAAGAGCTATGCACTCCTCTGTGATATGACCAAAGTCTTCATGGTACACACACCATTTGGATTTGTCTTTCCAGGTGGTGGGTTTTTCTCCCTTTCTTGGCCATATTGCTTTGTCTCCAAGATCCTGAGTAGCAAATATTTTACCTGAAATATCCACAGAAAAGCAATAGCCAGTAATCTTCGAAAAGTATTCTTCCTCTCCTTCATCTTAAGGGCATTAACCCTATGTTGATCAGATTTGGAATATGGTTTTGACTTATAGGATCTTTGGGCCGAGGAGTCGGCCTTCCTGTTGGGGTGGTCGTATGAGTTTGGTGGGTTGCTCCTCTTTTGAATCTCCTTGTCTTCTTCGAGCCTTATGAACCTTAGTGCTCCGCTCCTAACTTCGTCCATCCTTTTGCATGGAGTCATTACGAGGTCTTCGTAGAAAGGAGAGTCCTTCTTTAAGCCCATTTTAAAGGCTTCAACTGCAGTCACCATGTCAATGGTGGGGTTACTCAGAGCTTCCCTGCCAAACCTATTCACAAAAGTCCTAAGGGAATGCTTAGGATCCTGAACCACTCGATAAAGATCACTAGTGATCTTTTCGAATGTTCTGCTACAAGAAAATTGATTGTTAAATAAATTAACTAAGTGAGAAAACGAAGTAATAGAGTAAGGAGGAACGTTCAACAGCTATTTAAGAGTTGATCCTGTGAGGTTTGAACCAAACTCCGAACGTATTTCAGAAAGTAGTATGCTTTATTATGCACTGAACATCGTCCCCATGCTTACCCTGCTCCATTATTTTTACGTGATAATGTCTAGCGGCGATTGACTATATTTTTCCATCCGTCATGGATCGATAGACGTTGCGATGGGCTTCCAACTTTAATCGAGAGGTGGAAAGAGAAATTTTTATTCGTTCATTCATCTGCGTTTCCAGGACCCATGGCTTATGTTATCTCTGCCGATAAGGTTGTTGATCCTACCTTGGATCTGACTACTGAGGAACAAAAGATCGTTGATATTCTTTCAGAGAATTTCGTAAAGTGGGAAGATCCTGATGAAACCATGTTGGGAAAGGATGGTCTGATTTCTTATTGGAATTGAATTAGGAAGAGGTCAATAAAGACCCTAGGGGTAAAACAATTTCCCTTCTAGATCGCTTATATAAAACCGGGTTGTTGGGTCCAGTCAAGTAGTGGAGGATACTTTTACCCCTAATTCCCATGCCCGATCCGAGTCTAGTATGGATTGTTTTGTAAATGCATCTGGTCTTGACCCCGCTATTAATGTTCCTCCTTCTTCGGCTAAGAAATTTGTGAAAACGGAGCGCGGTATCAGAAAACCCCCTTCTTTTCTCCCAAAGCTAGTTTGAAAAGTTTATGTTTAAAAGAAAACTAGGTTTAGGCGGTGAGAAGACTCTTTATTTGGAAGGTTGTTAGGTCATAAATTGTGGTTTATACTTTGTTTTTCATAAGCTATTAGAGTTATCGGTTTAGGACCGAAAACACCATGTTTTGGTGTTGTTTGGACAGAAATCACATGTGATTTCGGTTAGGCTTTATATTGTTTCGTTTGGGTTTTGGGTTGCGCCTTGGTTATTAGGTCTAGGTATAAATAGTGTCATTTGAGCCTTGTAAATAGTGTGGGACGTTTTGGGGGTTTCCATATGCTTAGAACGTGATTTGCAGAGAAACAAGAGAGAACCAAGTGTAATCAAGAATCTTATGTACCCGACTATTTAATAATAATGTGCATCGAAGATTAACCATTGTGTTCTTATTCTATATTTCGTCTTGTATAATTCACTTGATTGGGATTCCGCACCATTAAGTGAATCCGATTGATACATCGTAGCATTTTGGGTCTTACAAAGGTGTGATGAGTTGAACTGATGCTATGATTGACCTTTCCTCTCTAAAGCAAAAAAGAACCGTACGTGCTACCGATGTTAAGATATGAGTTCCTAAGGTTTCGAATTCGGAGTTCTTCGTGGAGGTTACAGACCTTACTCTTTCCTTACAATCATCTGAGACAGTTAAACTTCACGATTATCCTGTTACCTCTAACCCCGAGCTAAAACATGTCGAGGATACACTCCCTACTTTTGATGTTGAAAACTCATAGGAAAACAAAAACGATCAGTGTTGTTCCTGAAAATCAACCCGTTGTGGATTCGGCTCTTATATCTATGAAAGAACACCCGTTGGTTGTTCCTTCTGCCACTGCCGTTTTTCAGCAGAAGCTCTTTTGTTCTGGAATTGGACAATTTCAAGCGGCGACCACAAAAATCACAATTATCATTGTGGATCCTTTTTCCAATCGATTTTGGTGCTCCAGGTAGCTCCAATACTACACCCATAAAGACGATTAATACTAATTTATTTTGGCTATGATACCGTCCTTGATCCCCTGTTAAATGTTGCTAGGAAATCTTCTAAGGTAATTGGTGATCTTTCTCTTTTTTTGTTTTTTTGTTTTGTCTTGATGTGGATTCTCGATAATACTGATTGCTATAAGTTTTTGACAACTATAGTTATTCCTTCTATTGGGAAGGAAGCCCCTATTCCTACTTTGGTTACTATGGAGGCTTATTTTCCTCAATTTCAACGTCCTTTTTCCACGATAATTTTTCCAAGGGGCCCTGAGTGACGAAGAAAGTCTTGATAGGGATCGCTCCTGCTTGATGGTAGGTATTCATCTGGTCAATGAAGTCGCATGTCGTACCCAAAACAGTGCTAGCTAGTCTTCTTGCAAGTTAAGAACTGAAGTTTGAAGAAGCTCTGCAAGCTATGAAAGGTGCACGTTCCAGTTATGAGCATTTGGTAAAAGAATCGGTGGAGTTGCGTGAAGAAGTGGTAGGTCTTTCTGAGAGGAATAGATGTTTGGTGGATGATATGAGTGAGCGTATTCGCTGTCAAACGGAATTGAAGAATCTTAATCAAGATTTGCAGATGAAGGTTGACGATGCTATCATTCGTCGCTTAAAGCTGAGCAAAATCTTGGAGGAGAGATCCCAACAATTGGAGGCTTTAAAATCACACTTTACCGAGAAGGTGTCCCAATTGGAAGTTTCCTGTTCGGACAAGGACGTACACATCAAACTTCTGGAGGAAGAAATTTGCTTCCTACAAAACTGTTATGACTGAGAAAGATGCCCAAATTAAGGCGATGGGTGAGCTACATATGACGACTAAGTAGGATGTGCTCTTCGACCAAACATTGTCTGATCAGAATTTTGCTGACCTTCAATGGGTTGTGCAGAAGGGTATTCCTTCTTTCATCCGGTTTCAAAAGATTTTGGTAACGTGAATGATTCCCTTCAGACTGTGGCCATCCACTTGGGATTGCATCAGGCATGTGTTGAAATGAAGGAGAGGTATTTCGAGGAGCTGGCTGAAAAGAGCGTCCCTAACTCTTACCTTGATGTACAGAAGTGCATATAGGATCGTTTTCCCAAAATGATCAATTACAAGTATTTGCTACTTAAGATTCATGAAGGGAATGAGTTGCCATTGGTGTGCTGAAGGAGAAATTAGAGGCTTTGGATCCGACTCACTTGTCTGGTGATGTGAGTAGATGAGAATCACAGATGGACTAATGAAGATTATTAAACCTAAGAACATAAACAATTCGTTAGACGATGACCGGAAAACGTTTCTAGGCCAACGCTCCGATGCCAAAGTCAGAGATCGATCGAGGTATATGATGAGATTAGTATGTTAAAAATGGTGTATATGTGTCGCGTACCTTATGAATCGGGTGGATATTGTATTTATAGTCGAGACGCATGAACAATGATTTCTTCCTTTACCCGGGCCAATGCTTCGATGCCAAAGTTAGAGATCGATTGAGGTATATGATGAGATTAGTATGTTAAAAATGGTGTGTATGTGTCGCGTACCTTATGAATCGGGTGGATATCGTATTTATAGTCGAGACGCATGAACAATGATTTCTTCCTTTACGGAGCAGGTGTGAAGTCTTATCGCAGTAATGGCTTCGTAGGCCGAAGGTACACCGGTGTGTCTTTTTTATTCGTTTAACAACTGTTCTTTGAGAGTTAAAGGATCTGTCAAACATCACTCACAATACAACCTGTTCCAATGTTCTGTGGTACTTAATGGCGATTTTCCGTACTTAATCGTTATCTCTGAGTGTCAGATTGCTCTTAATCGGTATGTGCCACCTTGGTTCGGGTATTGTCAATTGGCAGCTTATGGTTCGGCCATTTTTATGGTTCGGTTAGGTGAGGGTATATGCATGATCTTGGGCTATATACCCTATTAGGTGGTTTCAAGACCCAAATCTATCTGTTGTATAATTGTTTTTCTTCTCCGGCTAGTTTCTTGCTTTCCTGGTTTTCTTAATATAAATTGTGTCGTTCAAAAAATAATTAAACACTTTTCGTTAAAAAGATTAGAGTTGGTTTAGAAGTGATTGCAGCTGGTACGTATGTGACACTATAATAAGCTACAACCACAACACTAATTATCACAATCCCTGAATCTTTTAGTTTCATTATTAAATTGCAAGAAAACAAAGGCTTATGGAGATAAGTATCGAAGTCACTTTCCTCTTTCTTGTGATCATCAATCACATGTATTACATTAATTTGGCTTGAATATTATCTGATTGCTCCAAACCATTAATAAAACAAAAAATAATAATCAAACAATTAAGGTCCAGGTGGTAAGAATATATTGGTGGAGGGTTGCTTTCTCTGCCCGCCGGCCTTTCTTCATGAGTTCAAGTGTTTTTATGCTCCATATCTTTTATCATTTAACTCCTTCGTACTTTCCCTACAAGACAATTCTCTCATGTTTTGAAAAAAAACATAGTTTCTTTTTATTTGCACCCACTATCCATTCAACTCTTCAAAAATTGAATAGAGTGCTAACTAGGAGAGATAACTCATAATTTCTTTAAACCTTACAATTTTACACTATAAATCTCAATCTCATGATGCCTTCAATGAGCATAAAACTCCACCTTTTCTCTCTGTTTAATATTATACTAGGTGTGAGACCTGTGTATTACACGAGTTTATTAAAAGGACCAAAAATAACGGTGTGAGCAAAAAAAAAATCATTCACGTAAGTTTTGGTAACCACAAAGACCATTTTCATAAAAAAAAATAAGTAACGACTGAGTTTATGACATTTGTTAAACCGCATGGACTATTTATGTAATTTGATTTTAATTAATGTATACTAATAAAATTAATTAATATGAATTCACAAATGGAATGTACTATCTACATTAATATACATATACATTAATTAATATATTAATAGAAAGAGGAATTCATAAATAGAAAGTTATTATGTACATTAATTAATATATTTATAAAATTAATTAATATGAGGTGACATTTAATAGGTGGAATTTTAATAAAAAAAACTATAAAAATGACAAGTGGATATTAAATAAATCAAAAAAATCTAGGAAACGACAAGTGTCAAAATGAAGGAGAAGAAGACATGTGGCAAAATCATTCTTATTTATTAGGGTAGATTCACTTACTAGATGTAAAACCCGTGTATTATACGGGTTGATTAAAGAAAATAAAATATTAAAATGTAAATAATAAGTATTTTTTAAACTAAAATTTTAAAATAAGGAATGAAGAAACATATTAATTGCAATTTATTATAATACTTATTACATTTGATACTTTACATATATAAGTATAAGATTATGTAGCTTTTTAATTTTAAAAATTGAAAGAAACCATAAATTGACATGTGGATATTATTTATTTAAAAAATATCACAAAATGACAAGAGTCAAAACTCATTAGAGATTGACATGTAGCAAAATTATCTTCATTTATTATAGTAGAAGATATTCTATTCAACCCTTATATTGAACCACCATTGTGAATGCCCTTATCTATATGATCAAACATTTTTTTATAAGTGTTCAACTCACTAGTCAACAAGTTGACCATAAATTTTGTTTGACGTTATTAACACAAACTTATATGAATTATAACATTTTAAAGTAACGGATCGAATTTTCATATGCTGTTTATTATTTTCATACAAGTGGGTATTGAGAGTCGAAGACAAGATTAATGGAAGTAAGAGATACAATGCCAAAGTGGTAAAGGAGTTCCAAGTTTCCAAGAGAAGGAGGGTGTCGACTATAAGGATATATTCTTTCAAGTTGTGAAAATTACTGCAAACGGGCTTAGGGCGAAGAATAGAAGTTTAACTGAAAGCTCTAATCTGGAAATCGTCCCCGAGAAGTGAAACTTGCTTAGAAATCTGAAGTGCAACACATTGTGGTTGAAGCGCCCGGAGAAGTCCATTATACTGAATCTTCGAAATAGCGTCTACGGAGTCTCTAGATAGTCTTTACAACGACACAATTCTAGTCAGAGCTTCGGTAATAAATTACTACCTTTGTAAACATGTTTTGACTTTATGGCAACTTGTCATAGGCCCATTGACCAACCCATAATATTAGGTCAACTACATTATTAATACATTTATTATAACTATAGATGTAATCATAAGATCATAAATATCTTATTGTAAGTTGTTATAAAAACCGATCCGGTTTGAGAAAAAAATATGGTTCGTGAGCATATAGTTGCATTGCTATGGTAGATTTTTGCACATTTAGTACCTAAATGCAACATTGACCAAAAAAAATCATGAAATTGGTCCCAAATTAAAAATAACTAGTATGTAAGTCATCTCGTGTGTTGGGACGGAAAAACCCTTTGCAATTACTAAAAACAAAAACTATAAAAAATATATATAAGGAATCAAAAATGTAACTTTAAATTATAATAAGGGACCAAAATTACAAGTTATAAAATACCAATAATTTAAATTTAAAATTATATAGGATAAAAACTGCTAAATCAATTTTTTTTTAAATGACAGCTCATATGTAAAAATATGCTAAGAACAGAAGAAAATCGTTATGTCCAAATAAATGATTATTTTGCATCTTATATTATGTATTTTAAAAGTTGTAATACGATCTGAATTTAGCTATTTATGGTCCGAAAATAGTAAAAACAAATGAACATTAATTTATGTACTATACGGTAACAATTTAAATTTCAAACCCAGCCTCTAAAAGAACACCCCTTTCTCTATTTTCATAAGTTTTCATAATGGTTTTATATGTATAAAACATCCATATGCCATATCTATACGCTAGATGTCTAGGCAAACTGAAAAGTCCTAACATTCCAATCAGGTTAATAAATGACCGCCGTCTATAGAAACTTCTTTTTTTTCTTGTTTTCGTAGACGTATACAAAATAACTTGAGTCTCAAAGTGTATTATATGTTGTTATTTTATTAAGTAATCATAATTTATAATTTTATATATGAACCTTCTTTGATCAAAATTTATTTTACCAAGAATGCCCAATAAATAGACATAAAAAATGAAATATACAGTTGGTTCTATGCGAAGAATGGAATCATTAAACCCAATATAAGACAAAGGTTTTCTCTCGATGCATATGTAGACACATACGTTAGAGTCGTATACACAAGAAGTGTTCAAAACTAAACCCCACAAAGATAGGGTCGGAATGCTCCTAAAAGGATAAGGAAATGGCCCCAAGAATTATCGCCCACAATAATACCAATGCATTGTCTTAATTAATTTTGCTATCTCCCATGTGTAAACATCATATGCTACAACACATAAATTGTATTTATATGTCTACTTCACATTCGTTCTTATCAATTAGATAGTTGAGTGTTCAAATTTGATAAAAAATATATTGATTGATTTATAAGTAGTTAATAAAAGTTATTATTTTAATTAAATATACCATAAAGGTATTAGATTGGAATAATGTATTAGAGTTTGTGCATTAATTTAATATGTATTTATTTGCGAAATACAAATGTTTTAAGTCGATTGGGAGGTATAGTGGGGGTTGTTCCTACGGATTTAGTCTTCGAAACCAAAAAATGCTCCCAAGGGAGTCGGGTGGCGCACGACGAATAAGGGCGGAGACTGGACGGAAGTTAGTCGGAGAAAGCAAGATTCGGCCATCATATCCTACTATATCACCAATATTCCAATAGGAACGAAAAGCGTTGCCATCTATGAAGCTTTGAAGGAGTTCAGAAAGAGTGAAGATGTATACATCCCATGCAGAAAAGACAAAGGCGGTTCTTACTTTGGGTTCGTTAAATTTAAAGGTGTAAGAAATGTCAGGGAATTGGAACAAGCCATGCACACGTGAGATGTGGGCACTATATCCTCAAAGTAAACCTATCTAAATATGGCAAGGAAATCACAAACGCAGAAACTTGACAAACAACAATAGGATGAATTATCGACCCCCTCACCAGTCTTATCCTCCTCAACCCAACCCCAACAACGTGAATCCAGCGAAGAAGGATATTAAAATTTATGCAGAAGCAGCGAGAAAGAGCAGAAATACCCCACAAAATAACACTCCAGTGTCCTTTATAGCAAACCTCAAACCGGTCCCGACTATGGTTGGATGGAACAGCTCAACTTTAATCGGTGAAGCCCAACATCCTTACTAAGATCACAAAACTAATCGAGGCAGATGGGAACAGATCTATGAAGTTATTCTACACCGGAGGTATGAAGGTTGTGTTGAGATTTGACATTGTGATTGATGCTACGAAGGGGGTATCAAATGAGTCAACCGATGAAAGAAATTGAATGGATAAAAATCATATGGGTTCCCATATATTTGAGGGCTGAGGAAAACTATACCACAATCGCAAGCAATTTCAGTAAGGTTCTACAAGTTGACGGACATAATTGGGGTAACATAAATCTTTCTTATGGCACAACTTGTATTCTTCCAACTGAAATCACTCGGATCAATGGGTCACTGACATGTAATTACAACAATGAATCCTACAAGGCGAGAATCATTGAGTATGACTATAAATAGCCCCCACTCTACCACATATCTACAACACCACAATATGATAATGTTCCAGATGTAGATGTCGATTCCACTCAAAACAACTCCGATTCTGGGTCAGGTGATGACGAGGACTCTGAGGGGATCTCTAACACCTGGGAGAACAATCTTGTAGAGGACGAATTGGAGGAGGGAGAAATCGAACAAGATGAAGTCAACAAGAACCATATGATTACCGAAAAATTTCACCGGATAAAACAATAGCGATATCGCCGGCGGCAAGGGTTGAACCGGAGATCGGTAGGGCATGGAGATTCGAACCAAAAGCAGAAGTCGTATCGTCTCCTCGTAACTTGGATATCAGTAATGACATGGTTATTCCCAAAATCAACCTGAATGGAAGTAATGGTATAAAATTTGGGTGCGCAACCCCCCTTCCTCGGTGACCAAGACGTTAGGTTTAAATCAAAATGGGTTGCAATCAGACAAAATGGGATGGACTCATAATACCCCTTTCACTAGTAAATCCCCAATTACAGTTGTGCATGCCCACACAAACAATCCACCAAATTTTGAACTTGGTGAATCTCTAGGTAAGAGACACAAGTTAGATAGAGTCATTGTTGGATTAGTGTCTAAGCCCGTAACTATGTTGGTATGTACTTGGCCCGGTTGTGCATGATCCTTTTGGGTTGCCTTCAGCAAAGCAACTTGATAGGATGATTTATGAAGAGAAAGGTTATTATGATTTATTAATATATTATATGAATAATATATTAAAAGAGAAATCATATTGTTTAATTAATATTAGTCAAGAATTAACAAGAATTAATTTTGTGGCTAAAAGAGATTAATTAAATAAAGGGGACTGATACTGTAATTATAAGATAATTGCATAAATTGAGCTAATGGACTCCTTTGAAGTTGGAGTGGACGAAATCTATGGGGAAACCCATTAGAATTCGTCCAAGGCTTCTAAGGAAGGAGTCCATGGGCTGCTTAGGCCCTAAGCAGTCAGATTACGGTTTCCTAGTTCAAAACCCTAATAGCCTAACTATATAAGGAACCCCTAAGCCCCAAAAAACGTGTGGAAGTAATCCCTAAGGGTTCTTAGACGTTTTGGTGCCTCTCATCCTCTCTCCTCTTCATCATTCTTATGCTCTTGGTGTTTGTGAGCCATTAGAGGTGTGACACTTGTGACACTTAGCTTCTTGAAGATCAAAGAACTCTTGCAACCATTGAAAGGTAAGATCTAAACCCTAATTCATATCTCAATTCGATTATTGTATGCTAGATCTAGGGTTTATAAGCTTTGGATGATTATTGCATATTCATTAGACAAACTAGATCCAAAAGTTATAGGGTTTTGCATGTACACCCTAGGATTGATGTAGTGCTCAAAACCCATCAGTGGTATCAGAGTCTAGGCTGTTTGTTTGATGTATTTGATGCTTGTGTGATCATTCTTGGCATGAAAATCGGATTTTTTGTCCTCTGCATGACTGACTCGGCGAGTCAGTGGATGAACTTGGCGAGTCAGCCTGACTCAGCGAGTCCAGGGGTCAGACAGAGGATATTTCGGGATTTTTTCGGATTTTGGCTGATTTTGATGATAGATAATTACCATAAACGTTTTTTATTGATAAATTCCGACTTTTAATGATATTATGTGATTATCCTTGCCAAAATAGAAGATAATTGTCATTTAATTGAATTATTATTTCCTTATATGATAAAAATTGATTATTTGAATTATTTGATGAATTGTCTTACAAGAAATTGGATTAGGTCAAATTTAGATAACCACCAATTAATTGTTTAATTGTTATTATTTGCAATTTGATCTAGAATGTTCTTGATAATGTTTTGAAAAGTTTCAAAACTTGCCCTCAAGTTTTGGAATTTAAATTTTTTATTAAAAAGTTTAATTTCGAAATATTTAAATTCTAAACCCTAATGTTTTGAAAAGTTCAAAACTTGCCCTCAAGTTTTGGAATTTAAAATTTTGATCAAAAGTTTAATTTTTGAAATATTAAATTCTAAAACCCTAGTTTTTGAAAAGTTCAAATTACACCCTTATGGTTTTATTAAGTTAATTAAGTGTATAATTAAAAGAAAGTTAATAAATCGATAATGATTTGGTTTAGATTTAATTAAATTAGAAGTATAATTTATTAAATTAGACCAGATAGTATTTTAAAAGTGTAAAATACACCCTTATACTATATATAAAATTAAAAGTCTAATATTATATATGTATAAGTAAAGACTCAGTCTTACCGTTAGTAGGCCTCATTCACGAAGCTCGTCTCTAAGGGGTGTTTAAGGAAATTGCCTATAAAATGGTGATTCAATGAGTATCTACTCTTACCCACCGCACTCTTGACTAGTGGATGGTCGTTAGCCGAACGGGTAGGATAGGGCACAACCTTCCATTATAAGTATAATGAAATACGAAATAACTAAATGCTTTTATAAATTCCCAAATCTTAGTTAATTTAGGAAAAAGTGAATTTGATGCAATTCCATGGAATTACACTTTGTACCCATGCCGAGACAATTAGTGGAGCGTGCGTAACGCCCGTGTTTCTGGGCTAGGCATTAATGTTGATGTAATAGTCTAGGTTAACCTTTGTAACTCATTTTGAAATAATAAGAATGTATTATTTGAGTATTATATGATTTATGCCTAATTGTTGTAACTTAATTGAATTAAGGATAATTTGAGCGTTAAAAATAAAATGTTAGATAAACCCGATATCGATACATGAAGTTGTAGTGGTCGTGACAAGGTTTCCGAATTAATAAAGAATGTCGAAATCCGAGTTATAACGAAGAAGTTATGACATGTCGAAGTTTCGCGACAGAACCGACACGACACGCTATGACGTAAAATACGAATTTAAGATAGAGCGATATCTAGCCTTAGTGATCTAAACGGAAGTCGAAGATTTCGTTAAACCGAGAGCGTGCATAAAAAGAACGTCTAAATCTGACTTCGTATGAGGAAGTTATGATTTTTCTAAGTTCCAGCTTAACAGTATGCAGCCCGAACTTCGAATATGAGATCGAGTGATTTCTAGTCGAAACAATCTAAACGAGAATTGAATATCTCGTCGTTAGTAGTCCAACGGTAAAAAGACAGACGAAAACGGATGTCAGATGAAGAAGATATGATTTTCTAACGGAGTTTTCCTGTCTCGGCCTACTAAAAATAATATAATAAAAATAAAGTCAAAATTAACCAACGGAGTCTAAATGAAAGTTGTAGAGCATGATATCACCTACGTGTGGATATAAAAAACGTTGAAAACGGAGCTTGTATGTGAAAGATATGAATTTCTGAAGTTCGGAACACAAACTTCGAGGTCTTTCGGAATTCACGACGTGAGCAGGGTCCTCACGACGTGAGCAGGCAAGTTGCAATGACGCACTGGATGATGATCGAGCTCACGACGTGAGTATTAGAGGCTCACGACGTGAGCATAGCATTTTTGCCCTATAAATAGAAATCAAAGAGGCAGCGGGGTTTGGTTGTTCCTTTCTCACTCTCTCTCCCATATTTCCTCGTTTTGCGTGCAAGAAATACCCCCGAAGCCCCGGTATCATCCCGAGAACCGAAGCGAGTCCCGAAGACCAATGATCCCGAGAAGAAAAGAGTTTCCGAGCCGAAGCTCTGCCCGCGAGAAGCCCGGTGTGTGTGAAGATCTTCCGGTTTCACCGAAGAATACTACTCTTAGAGTCGTAGTGCTATCCGATCATCTTCTGATCAAGTGAGTGTATATTCGTTTTCTTCTAACACATATATTCGTTTTATTTGAACTAGTTGTTGAATGGATGTTTTGTACAGGTTTTAAGCTGTATATAAATGTATATATTTTATCTACTAATATGTTGGGTAGAACATGGGTAGACAGTTGGTGTGTGATGAAATAAAATGATGAGAGGCCTCGTTGTTGTTGCTGATTCAGTCATCTAGGGGAGTTTAGATGACGACCACAGACTTTTCTAGACAGTCCAGTGGAACGCTAGCAGGCTCATAACCTGTAGGTGTTAATGAACTTGGGTGTTCATTTGCTGTACTCCATCCCCCTCATGGTTGCCTTTAGGACATCTATTGTTAAGGAAACCCCTTTGCAGTAACGTCCATCCCGATGAAAATCCTAGATTAGGTCCCTTGTAATAGTTGTTGTTTTAGTGACATAAAGTGAGGATAACGGGAATGGGTAATCGGGTTATTGTTGGTTGATGAACTAAATATATTTATTTATTGTGGGTTGAAAACCCTATATGCTCAACAGGCTCCCAAGCCTGACCCACTCAGTTTCTTTGTATTACAGGAAGTGGCGCGAGAGCATAAGTTGGAGAACTTGTGAAGATGTTTTTGTTTATAGACCAGTAGTTGTATAAAACCGTGTAAGGTCTATGTTTTATTGTTTATGATTTTGTGTCTGTATCGGAACATGACATCCCGAGTTTTGATATATAATGAAAATACATTTCTTTAAGAAATGCTTTGATAAACTTTTTTTTATCATGTATTGTTTTGGGGACAAAATTCCGCAACTCTTTTAAATCAATGGATTTACTCTGAAATTATTTTAAAAGCATAAATGAAACCGGTCTTTTCTGGCCGTGATTTTGGGGATGTCACAGTTGGTATCAGAGTATTAGTTTAAGCGAACTAGGAATTTGTAGGATTTCTAGACTTAAACTTAGAATGCTAAGTGAAGATTGTGAGATGAGTGTCTGCAATATTTTAGACACGAGCACTGGTTTATTTTAGGAAAGTTGCCTAAAATGCTTTTATGTGCTAAATGTTATATGTTTTCCATATATGATATTATTTGTTCGGATCTATGGTTTGTTGCCAACCGGATCTGGAAACCTTATGTGTTTAGGGTCTAAGCGTATGACGACGGTATTAGAACTAGCATGTAAACGTTTCGGAGTGATAAGAATGGTTTAAATATCTATCGTGAATAAAGATATAAATTCACCTTATTCGGTGTATAGATCAAGAATGGCAAGAACAAGAAGTGGCGTTGGAAACGCGAACGAAAACAGGAATCAACCACCTATAATCGAGCAAATACCTGTTGTAGCTGCTGCACCTGAGACGGTGACAATGGCTGGTGTACAATTGATGATTCAGACGATGTTGGATCGTCAGATGGAAGAAACTAGACGTCTGCTTCAGCAAAATCGCGAAGAACTTTCAATTCAAGTTGAAGAGCCCGAACTGAATGGAGGGCCGTCGGAAG